AGCTTGTTTCCAAACTGCATATCCTTTAATCTTGCCAAGCATTGGGTTTGATCCTGATATAGAGTTAAGAGTCAAAGTATGAGACCTGACCCAATAAGAAAGAAGACATACTTAAGTGAATGATAATGAAATACTTGTTCCGTCCGCTGTAGGAGAAATATCAACGTCTGCATAGTGTGCCATGACGACGATGGAGAAGATTGGCTGGGATACGACAGTTGTGGCCAGTACTTCCACGCAAGTTGCATCAAAGTGGATTTGATTTCTCAGACTCTCTCCAGCTTTATCTGCCGTTGTTAATTTCACAACATTGTTGCGGATTAGTGACGTAAATTGATGGTAGAGAATATTCTTCCCAGTGTGGGGCTGGGTTAAGACTAAGCTAGGCTGTGTACAATTCCTGAAATTCCCGTTATTTCACGAATTCTTTGACGCTAAAGTGTTGACAAGTTTTTCGCGTTACGTAAGGGAAAAATTGACTCAACGCTGCAAGGAGAATCTCGCTCAAAATTTACTCTTAAGAGTCGAAGTTACTGTCCAAAATTCAAACGTTACTGTTAGGTTTATTGGCGCACTGATAACCTTGTAAATAGCTCAAATATACTGAAAACATTTTCATTTGTTTTTGTATATCTTCATCCTTTGTTCAGCTAACTATGTTCAGTACGATTTTGCACACTTCGGGTTTAAACTTTTCGTGGGGAACACGTGCTACAGCTTACACGACCTATTTCAAATTTAACCGCTGTACTATAAACTTGAGTGTTCGACCCTCGACGAACGCGTTCGATATAGCGTCATAAGGGGCTTGTCCAAGAAAATGCAGGTGTGACCGTCAAGCGTGACATACCCTGTCACGTCCTAGTCTCGTCTCAATCTCTTCCTGGGAGCCTCAGCCAACTGAAAAATTCAATTTATTGTTCGGCGCTACGCATTCTGTTTAATTGGATGTTGGTCTACTGTGGTGAGTAGGCATTTTTGAAGTTAAGCAAAAAATGTCAAAACCTTGTGTGTTTTTGAAGGTCGTAGATTTGCAATGGGGCTTTCGATCACTCACCTGTAACGCCACAGGCTGGTGTGGAATCTGTTTACGTACTTTGGCGATTTACTTTTTTGCACATTGACAGAGATTTTGATGAAAGAAATTACCATGTTTAATTTTTCTGTTACGTTTTTGTCCATTGATGAATTTATATATTAAGTAGGTATTTTGCATTAATGAACGCGTCTATCGTTTTTGTTTGAGCCGAAGGGCATGTACGTTTTCCATTGTTGCAGTACGGAGGGCCACGAGTTACAAGAGTCTTTACTAATGTCAAATGTGACGCTCTTGGAATAAAACTTGATTACTTAGTGTAATTTCAATATAAACCGAAATGGCAAAATTTTGAAAAGAAATAATTCAACCACCGATCGATGTCGGAAACAAATGCGATTCGATTCCGTATCTTCTACTTTAGCCTTTTTTTACATATGATCCTAAAGATTTGTTTAAGATTCTGAGTACAATGTAGGCTTTTTGATGGTGTCTACAAACTCGATCATGTTTATATGAAAAAAAATTGAGAGTTAAACGAACACGTTTATTTTTATATTAATTTAACTAGATAAATTGATGGTTTTGACGGAACTAAACTGAACTCCAGTGCTTCTATCTGCTCTCCACATTTCTCATGTGTACGCATGCTGATGTTACTGATGTGCGCGTATCAGATGTTCTGAGTGAGTGATTTAGGAGTTGGTGGGGGAGGGGAGGGGTGAAGAGGGGGGCCTTCTATGTGGTACTAAGAGAGGATTGTCTGCCTTACAGGGAATTTTGTTTACCATGGGGGGGATGGTGGAGGTTAAAGGTTTCAGTTGTAGCAAGGCATCATGGCACAGAACCTAATGAATAGACATAACTTTTGATGTTTGGCAATTACATCTGTCAAATTGCTTGCACTTGATCTTCACCAGAAGAGTTACATTGTGGGTTAGTGTCTTTCAGTTAGTAAGTTTTTGTCTGAGCAATTTAAGATAACTTTACGGTTGAAACTTTTCTACATCCTCAGCCACTGAGATAGGGAATACACCCTAACTTGGGCTGTCTAGGGTGTGGTTTGGATCCCATCCAATTTGAAATTGGGTACAAATTTACCCATTTGGGTCATGAGTAGGGTATTTCTGGAAATGTTGGTGAAAGAGTATAACAAAGTAATTTTAGTTTTATTGACTGAGTTGATATTGTAACTTGGTCACCACAATGAGTTTCATAGCTGACATTTTGAGCATTAGCCCTTCCTCAGAGCAAATATTGTGTTATAAGGCTAAATGACCAAGGTGGAAAATATTTAATATTTTAGAGTTTTTTCATGGCCACTTTCTAAACTCACTGATAAGTTAAACCAAAAGATGTGTTTACCCTTTTAACGCTAAGAGTGATAAGCACTTAATTTCTCCTTACGATATCGCTCCTGCAGAACACATTAAGGTCAGGAGAATAAAGGAAATGATCATCAACAAAAGACACTTTTGATTATTTAACACATTCTTCTTGTCAGCACCTTAGAAAATGTCTAGAGAACAGTATGGAGAATATTCATACTGATATTAGGATGAAAAGGGTTTATGAATAGATGTGTAATATTTAATGCTCTCTCTTTTGAACTTTCAGGCTTGTGTGTGCTGTTTAAGGTGTTAACTGCTGGAGGTACATAGAGTTATATAGTAAAAAGTAAACTACATATTGTGCATACCTATATGCAAATTATCTATTTTACATTTATTGAACAATTTTCTCTTGGCCTGATGAAAATAATTATTTTTTCCCAAGTAGACCTATGTTTGCTATCAGCAGATTAACTCTGCTATTCTCTATTTTACTTGTTGTTGTTGTTGTTGTTTCTTTTTTTTAACCAAGACATTACAGAGTAGCTGTAATTTTCTAAGTGGTGTTTTATGATTATTGTGACCTTTTACTGGGTAATTGTTATGCATGGGAAATGACAGGCAAGTGCATTTTGTAATTTCTTACAAGACTCGGGCAGTCAGAGGGCCAATAACTAAAATCAACCAATCAAAATGCTCCATTGCCGGTCCAATATTCTCTAAGTATTGGACCAGGCACTGTCCTGAATGGTCCCGAATGATACCGCACTTGTGTCCCTTTGAACTTCAGTAGTATAATAAATCTCTTATTTATGATGCACGATCCTTCGCAGTAGAAAGCGCTATTTATGCAATAGCGAAAATCAGACCTGAAAAAAATTCAGACCTGTACGGGATTCGAACCACTGACCTCCGCAATACTAGTGCAGCGCTCTACCAATTGAGCTAACAAGCCAATTGGTAGAGCGCTACCAATTGCGCTACCACAGTTCAAAATATATGAACTTCATATATTCATTGTATCTCATTTATCACTTTCACGGGTTTATTACGAATCAACTTAACGGCCTGCTCCCAGTTGGCTTGTTAGCTCAATTGGTAGAGCGCTGCACTAGTAT